TCATCAATCAGAGCTCATGCTGGCCTACTTTGATGCCTTTTGCTTTTAAAATTAAATTCTTGCTATGAATTTTCTGACAGAAGTTCACTGAGAATTTACTGCCCACTGGTTTATCAGGTAGTCATTTCTCACTCCCCTTCACCTCTTCTTTTGGATAAACTCAGACTTGTCTTGGAAAATATAAGTCTATATGAGCTTTGCTGAAGGGGAAAATTTATATAGCACAAAATCTTGTAAAGCTCTCAAAATTTACAGTACTCTTTTTATTTTGTGCTAATGACTAAATTAGTTACTGTAAAAATTATTAGCTGATTAACTTTTTAGTTAACTCCTTTTTGTGTAATAGCCGTAAACAAAAAAAAAAAAATCAGAAAATGTCACTGAAAATAAATGATTTGCATGTAATATGTTGTAAAAGATTTTAAAATCTGGGTTTCTGAAAAGTTTTAAATGTGGCTATAACTAAGAGTTAGCAATTAAGTAACTAAGCAGTTAAGTTAACTAAGTAATTAAGAGTTGGCAGTGTTAGGTAAAGTATTCTGGATCTTCTATGGTCAAGGTCTTACTTTTGTTAAATTGCAGGAATTGCAGAGATTTGAGTACATCTCCTAGAGTCTGCAAAGTAATGCTGGTGCTGCCAAGCTAGAAGTAATTGCTAACTTCTGAAATGTAACTTGAAGCAGGTGTGTCCTTAGAGTTTTTACAGTTTTCATTCCTGACAAATCTGGACAAGTCTGGACAAATTCTGTCTGTCTATAATATAAAGAAGTAGAATTGATTTCTTATTTGATGGTTAAAAGACATTTGGGGTTTATATTTAAGGTATTAAAATTTTCATCCAAGTTAGATCAAAACATGAGGCTGTTCGCATCTTTGTAGTGCAAATGTGTGTGTAACAAAAGTTTAATGGATCGTTGAGGCTTTAGCTTTATGTATATAGGAAATAGTGTTCTCCATAACTAATTATAAATGTAAAAATGAATGGGATTTTATTTAAAAATCATAGTTGATAAAACTGATTATCTTATTAACAGAATTTACTGTGTGAATGTAGAAATGAAAACTAAGTAAATTTCAAAAAATACTAGTAACTAAAAACCTAGTATAGTCTAAGGATTACAGTAGCCTTTGGGTTGAATAATTTAACCATAGAATAAGAGTTTGAAGGAAACATTTTTGAAGAACTGTACAGAACAGATTGTTGTCAGAAGAAATAAGAACTCTCTGATGCCCTGAGGTGTTAGGGGTTACAGATTTCTGAAAGTTTTTTTCTTTTCATTGCATACTTCCTATTTTAATACTTAATTTTGGAGGAAAATAAAAAGAGATGATTATTCCTTTTTGATTTTCTGCTTTGCCTCTGGAGTTCTATGCTATTTTGTATTAATTATGTTTGGATAATTTAATCTTGTATAAGCAAGAATTTGCCTTTGAAACTTCAAAGAGTTCTGTTTCAACTTTCACAGAATGTTCAAGTGTTACAGGATATGAGAGACTGAAGTTCCTGCTCTAGAGTCCCTTCATGGCTCTTCATTATTAACTGTAGCCCTCCTGTCTAATGGACGAGCCTTTTCACTTTCCCTTTTTTCTTCAATAATGCAGTTATGGAGTTGTAGGGGGAACAGTGCCACCCCTTGGATTATCCCTTTGGTACACAGGCTGGGGCCTGGAAGGTGAGCTTATTTGGGACAGTGTTTCTCAGAGCTGCTGCTTGCCTGCACTATTATTATGCTCTTACACCCTTATCAAAACTCCCCTTTTTTTCCTTCTCTTGTTCTTTTTTTTGTATTTATTATGGATGCCAAAATTTTGACTGCAGTCAAAGTTCTTCTAGAGTATCTTGGAATCAGTCAAAACTTTTTTAGATTTCCTTAGATGGATTTTATCTGCAGATTCTCTGACTTGCCTCAAAAAGGCATTCTACAATTCTGTTGAAGTCTGGGGCTGGATTTTCTCTGTTCTTTATTTATGAAAGATTTAGGGATATGCAGCACTATTCCATGTATTTCCCCCTTTTTCCTTTAGTCAGATTGGTGTTTATTTTTAATTTGTTAGTAAGTGCTTAGTCAATATAGCTGTTAGCATATGAGTTCACATTTCTCAGTCTTCTGCAAACAGGAAGCTATTATAAATTAAAGGATTCTTTCCTTCTGTACAGAAGGGTTATAATAGATGTGTAGCAATTGCAATGTTTTGGCAAGTACATTGAAATAATAAACAAAGCAGGCAAACTTCTTGCCATGGCCTAATTAACAAGAAAGGAAGTAACTATTTTCCCTCCCTCAGATTTTAGTTGCTGTGAATTTGGGGTATGGGTCTAGGTTTGTGACACCCCTCTAGCCTTGTAAGGTCTCTAAAACAGACATTATCTCCCCTGGCAGTCTAGGGAAGACTAGAGCAAACTCAATAATTGTCATCTGGGTCTGAAGAATCAGGTTACAGTCCGCTTTCTTTAGATGGGAATACAGCAAAACCTTGCATCTGAGACATTGTCATGTAGCATAGATGGGTTGGGGTTTGTTAAAATCTGTTTCTTTGGTTTTTTTAAATTTTAGTATAACTTTAACCTGATTGGTTCAGGGTCTGCTTTTCCCACACAGCTGATAGTTTCAAGTTCAGCTCAACTCCTCTGTCACTTAGTAAAGGAAAAATGTGTTTTTCTGCTAGCAGGAAAGAGAAATGGAGTTTAATGTTCCATTCTCTTCTGATACCCTTTCTGTGATTCTTTGAGACATTATGTATCATGTTAGGTATGTGTTTCAAGGCAACAGAAGAGAAAATAAGCCTTGATTTAAAATCAGTATATATGTATTACAGAAGGGTGATGTTGTAGTCTTGCATACATAAATATCTCACTGTTTGGCTTAGCACGGGAATCTGGAGCTGCTTGCAAAATACAGATATTTGCATTTTAGTGGTAGTTACATGAACTGTCACAGAACACTTAAAAGCCTTAAGTGTTTTGGAAGGTCTCACCCAGGATCTCTGTAACATTTAGGCAGCACAGTGATGATTAACATAGGATTGGATATAGATGATTAACAAAGGATTAGATATAACTGAACTGTAAGGCTGAATCAGTGTTATGCTGGATTTGTTCTACAGAGCTTCTTTGGGTAGGAGGCAATGGCTGGGTGTTGTAACTCAAGACTTGCTATGTGAAAAGGAAAATAAAAGTCCTTTAAGTTTTACAGAGTCCTTGTATGCTTTGTGGAACTTGAAGGAATGTGAAGAATATTTATAGAGTCCCAAATGGATTACAAGTTTAGTTTATCAAATTTCATTTTCAGCATTAAGTTGCCATCTCAGCATTCTGCAGCCCAAAACTCCTGCCATAGGGTAAATCTGGGGTAAATTGTCCTGGGGCTTTTTTTGGGATTGTGTTTTTCTTCTTTTTTTTTTCTTCTGTTATTCGTAGGTTGATTGCTTTTTATTGGTTTCTATTGCTGGTTTTTTTTTTTTTCTTTTAATTTTTTTTCATGAGATACCTGTATTTAATAGTGGCTTTGAGGGTGCTGTTAGTATGAATGCAGGGTAAAACATTACCACTAATGCTTGACTTTAAGTTATTTGGAAATGAATAGCTGTATTTAAAACTGGTTTGGAAAAAGGCAAAATTTTTGCCAAAATTCTAAGCTGTCTGTTCTCAGAACAATCAGCAATCTTTAAAATGTTGTTTTTTAAAATTGAAGACTTTCCTTGAAATGGATTGATAATAAATAATGGTGCAGATTTAATTCAGATTGAAACCGTGATTGTATGTAGCTTGGAATATTCCAACAGGTAGGGCAGAGTGTGCATAATAATTTGCTTCCCACTATCTTAATTCAATTAAAAATGGGCCTTGGGATCACTGCTAGTCATAATTTGGTTTATATTGTCAGATAATGATCCACAAGTTCTATTCACCACTATAACTTCTTGTGATGGTGAGACTCCTACCAGCTGATATGAATTGAATAGCTTATTTCACCTTGCAACACCTGTACACAATGAAAGAAGATTTACACTCTAGATGTTAACAATATATTAGACTTAGGTAGTAAAAATGTTATTTCAATTAATTTCGTGCTTTAATTCTTGAATTTGGTGGACAGATCTCACTGGTTCAGGTGATAATGCATCAGACATGACAACAGATCCTTGTACTTAGGCAAAATACCCTTTTTCAGACATTCACAAAGTAAAAACTGTTATGGTCAGCAAGATATAAAAGTAAGGAAAAATAATTTAAGCTTTCAGTTGAATACTTTTTTTAACAATTAGTAGTAATTATGTAATATCCATACATTAATGATTATTTTATTGTAAGGTATGTACATGTTTGATGTTGGCCATGCAGAACTTCAGTGTTTGGTTATGTGATAATTATTATACCTTGCTTCACACGGTGCCTTTACAGCATTTAGTGATAGCTGGGAGCAGAGGAATGTCTACATTGTTTCAGAAAGTCTGCTTGGAATGAAAACCTTGTGTGTCCCCTCCTTGCACTGTGATCCTCAGTCAGGCTTGTTCAAAATACAGCAGCTTCAGAAAGAAGTCTGAAGCCTGTAATGTATCAAGCTATTTTTATTCCGGTACTCATCTGTAGCTTTAACATTTAAGACTGTCAACAAAAGTCATAGCTGTCATGATGTGCTGCATCAAGTACTGCTTGAAACTGTTTGAAAGTTCACTGTAGTCTCTGTGGACAGGAGTGCATTCTAACAGTTTTCCTGTGGGTTTCACAGGCATAAATGGAAGTTTGGCCACTCTTGGTTTATGCACAAATGAGCAATCCTGAAGGATAGGTCTGGTAAAGCCAGATTGTCTCTTTTTTAATTCAAGAAAGCATTCTATGATAATATATAATGTTTTAAGCTCAAGTAGGTCTAATTTTCTAAAGAAAATCAGAGCTGAAATTAAACTAGCTTATGATTTATTTTTATTGTCATTTTTTGTATGTAAAAGAATAAATGGCTAATGTTGTTAAATAATTACTCTTTTCTTTTCTTTTGTAGGTTGTCTTAGTCTTCGCTCTTAGTATTGGTGCTCTTGTAATATACTTCATAGATTCATCAAAGTGAGTATTTGAGTACATTTTCCTTTCTCTCCTTTCCTGCAGCAATTACACATCTTTGAATTTCTTCATTCATCTACTTCAAATCAGTGCTTGGTCTCATCGCCTGAGTGCAAAGAACTTTATAATAGCAAAGGTTCTACAAAATTAACTCAAGAATGGGAAAAATATTATATAAACTAAAGTGAACACAGTCACATTGGATCTGTAGAATGGAGAGGAAAAATACTTTTGTGTATTGATAGGATATATAGTATTGCAAAATTGCAGTTTTTATATCATTATGCATGTAGAATCTTTCATAATCAAGACTAGGATAAGAAGTACAGGCTAAAAATATTTGTCAGAAAATTGCAGTTTGGAGGAGGAAAAAGCATCTGGGGAGCCTGACAAGAACAGTTCTGAAAACCTCTGCATGAATTAGACAGTAGAAGCATTATATCTTGCATCTCTGTATTTCCAGCTTCTGAGTGTGATGGGTTTCTACCAAGATAAGGTGAAACTACTAATAATCTGCAAAGCATCTCAGTATTTTTTAGGTTTACTCTGATATTATCATACAGTGCTGTGGTTTTGGCCAGGCAGTAGAAAGTTTCATCAGGCTGTGTGGTGGTTTGCTACAAACAAGGGTAATTTGGACCGTATTCTGATATTGTTCATACTCCACCCTCATGTTCACATCGAGCTGGGCACTGTCAGTGCTGTAATAGGCACAGTGGTAGCCTAGCACAGAAGAAACAAATAAAAAGGGACTTAAAAAATATTCTTCCTTGAATACAATTCTTTTGGGAGAGTGATATCTGAAAAATCAATAGCAATTTAAAGTTCTCTGATGGCATGCTTACTGTTTTCCTCTGAACTAGTTTAAGGCTTTCCATTACTGCAACAGTCAAGATTGTATGCCAGAGTCAGTCCATGTGAGCCTGCCTACTGTCTGTAATGGTAGTAGTAATGTTCTAAAACAGTCATTTTGTGACTTAGAAAATCAGACATTCCATTGTTTGCATCTGTACATCCTGATACTTAGGAAGGTGGTGGCACCAGCAAAAGACATTCTTGGCTGTGTGGATGCCAGCTCTGTATTGTGCAAGTTTGAAACCGTAGATGTGTCAAATATAATACAAATAACTAAAGCATAGATTTTCTTTGTGGAGAGAAGTGGTGGGAAAACTCAAGTTCTGTCTTGAGCTCTCTTGAAGTGAGGACAATTGGTTTTACTTCTTAGCATTGCAATGAGTGTTTCTGTTAATTTTAGCAACTTTTCCTTAATACGTCAGCACTGAAGTGCATAAAGTGGTCCCTTTCTGAAGACCTTTGAAAAACTTTTTAAAGCACAGTGGCAAAGCTTCTGGATGCCTGATATTTCCAGGTCAAAAGGAAATATACCCTCCACATCTCCATACCCTTTTCATCAGTGCTATGACAGGAGAGAGAGCACAAAAAGATACTTTTTATAAGAAAGATGGAAACACCTTTAAGTGTTAAGCCACCTTGACGTGGTTGCAACTTCAGTGCTGACATTGTGACTACTGCATCATGATTCTTCCTTTGGTCCAGCTTCTGTTATATGTATAAGGTATCCCCCTATATATCTGTATAAAAGTTCACTTTTAAAGACACATATTAATTGTATTTTTGTGTTTTATTCTGTATGTGGATGACTTTTTGAAAGACTTGATTCCCTCCAGGAAGACAGTTTTCTTGTGCTTCTTCTGTCTCCTATGGTACCTTTGAGTTAATTTTTTGGGTGTTGTCTTTATTATTTAGGGCGAAGCAAGTCTGTCTCACCTATGCTAACAGTTAGACTTTATGATTCCAACTTAGGTGCTTTTGTCCACTTGTTTAGTAGCAATTTAGCTGGAAACATGTCAGAGATTCTATACTAGAACTTGCTTAACAAAACAGTGCAACATGAAAAGTCTGGTTTCTTGTTTTGGAGGATTCATGCTGGTTTCTTGCTATTGCATGTGAATAAATTAGGAAGGAAGGATGCATTGAAAATCTATATATTTTGTTTGAGAAGTTTCTGTGTGACAGCACAAGGAGGAAAGTGTCATTAGCAAATTCTCTTGAAAAGTCTTACTAGAAAATTTTTTCTTTTCCCTAAAAGTAGCACTTTGTTTCAGGTCCTTATGAATTGTCTTGTGTTGTGAGAGTATTTGAGGATAAGTTGTGATAGTGTACTGTGTTTGGCTTTCCTGCTTGCTTGCTACTGCTTCTGTGTTTTGTCTTTTGAAAGACATTTGATTTTGCTCAGCAAAATCTTCTACAAAAATATTGCAAGCTTGGTGAGGATGATTTATTTAAATTTATTACAGATACAGTGTTACTGCCCAGGAGAATTCATATCTTTTTCATTTGTGTAGTTCATGTTACCCCTCTTACAGACATGTATGAGGTAGGAAGTTTATCTGAATAGTTCAGTGAGTCTGGGTAAACATAAACACTCAAGTGGTTTTAGATACCAATCTCATTTTCATTACAAATCATTAAGCTTTTCCATATTAACTGGAATAATCTGCAGAACATTTTGATGATTCCTTCTTTGTTTCATGCCCCTTCAAGGAAATAGCAATTTTAATTTCATTTGAAAATCAACAGTGCTACATCTGAATTTTGAGTGGATCTCATTGGCCTGATGTATAAAAAAATGAAGATAAGTCTAATACGATCAGAAATCAGTTCATAGAAAAAGTTCAGCTTGTGCTTTGATTTTGTTATAATTTTCAAGTTACAGTTTGGTTTTCTGAATGTATTATTTCTTTTCAATTTGCAAGACATAGGAAAGTAAAAAATTGACTTTTTTAGGTTTTAGGGCTGTGGTATATCATTTTGCTGAGGATATCCTGGGCTGTTCATGGTTCTATACTCTGAAGTATGTATTTACCAGTATCTTGAGTGTGTGTAGATTTTACATAGCCTTTCAGTCTTCATATTTGAGGAGTTAAGTAGGACTTAAATTGTACTAAACTTTGTTTCACGCTTTCCTGCTTATAGTGAAACCTACTCATGCAAAAGTATTTTAATTATGTTTATAAAGTTTGTCTTAGTACACTTATTAACCCACACTAAGTGGCTACAGGAGCATTCCTTCATACTAAGTACACAGTAGAGTTAATATAGTTTTTTTGTGATGCTTGACTAAGAGATCTAGAAGTTGACTTAAAATCCTGGGATCTGGTTCAAAGAAATGCTGTTAGATTATGTTTACCATTGCTGAAATTGATAAAATTACAATGGTCTGTGTCTTGGCAAGTCGATTAAAACAGTATTGTTCCCTGCATTCTCGGGAGGGAAGTCTCCCACAGTTCATTGCAGCTGGTAGCACTGTAAAATTTTAATATTTTGCTAATTTAAATTTTGTTAACATTGCATCAGTTTCTGGCCATTTGTTTGAGCTGATAAATTTTGTTCCATGCTGAAGGAAATCCAGTTCTATGTGTTCTCTTCACCTCTTTTTTCCATAAAAAGGAGAAAGAAACTTTTAATTCCCCTTGGTTTTATTAACTGCTCAGTTGTCAAATGGAATGATAGGTGTAATTTTCTGATTCAAAGAAAATTTTGCTTAAATATAAGTGAATTCACTTATATATTTAAGCTTCCTTTATTTTGAAGTAGCTTGTTTTTTATTATTGTAACAGAATTGTAACTTCAGTTGTTCCTACTGATGATTTTCAGCAAATAACAAAATCTGTGGTTCATAAAGCCTCAGTCAATACCATTTAAACTGATACTTCATTAAATAAGATTTTTGGTTATAAGTATTTTAATTCTATCTTTACTGTGTTTGTAGTCAGTACTGAGTGTACACCATTATTGCTTTAATTGAAAAGTGATTTCTAGAAGAAAGCCTTATTTGTGACAATGAACTTTAATTTTCTTCACTGCTCTGCAGATTTTCCTGGGAAAGTGTCCATAGCTAAGATTCATTGCTTTCATTAGCATGCTACAGATGAAGTCAGGTGGGTGTGCAGCTCAATGCATGGCCTCTGCAGGCAACTGAATACCAGGATGATTGAAGGTCTTTGTTAGGCACAGATGGTGTTAATTATGAGTCAAATCCAGCAACAGCAGTGATATGATTATTATAAGGCAAAAACCAAATGAAACAGGGCACAGTGGAGGCAAAAAACCACCTGGTAATAATTGTCCATGTGTTACTATGCACTTGCCTCTCTAGGACAAAGGGATTAGGTATGATTATGTGTCTCCTAGTCTTGTTGTTAAACATTGTCCCTTAACCACCAATCGTGTGTTTTCTTGAATTATTAAAAAATCTGGATGTAGTGAGTCATACTGAAAAATTAGATGCATGATTTATGTACTATCCATCTCTTAGCTCAGTGTTTGCATTCATTCTCTGACATGTTCAGAGAGCTTGAGTTTGGCAAATTATATGCAGATAAAATCTGTAAAACACTACCTGCACAACTCCTCCAATCTATTTAGGAGACTATAATAATGAGTAAAGGGAATTCCTCTGTATGTGTTGAAATCACATTGTATTACACTGATTTTCACTAGTGGTACAGAGTCAGTGGTTAGGCAATATGGAAATATTCAGAGTTCTCTAGACAAACCACTGTAATGAAGTTTCTGTTAATCAGTGCCAGTAGTTTGTGTTTGCTCAAAAATGAAAATTAATTGTTGCAAATGAATTAAATGAGTAACACTGGGAAAGAATTTCAGATAAAATGGCAAACAAAAATAGAGTTCCTTTCATAATAATCGACATATCAGGCTCTGGGGAAATTTTTGGGTGTTGTTTTTATTCTTTGGTTTCTACAGAAATTCTTTGTAATTGTGGTGCACAACCTTGATGATGTGATAAATTCCAATGGGATTATTTTTCTGAATTGCTGGGCTTTGTAAAAGATCCCAGTAACTGTCACTGAGTACTCTTGAGTAGGGCTTGGCTCTCTTTTCTTAACACCTGAAGGAGGCTCCTTCAGGTATTTATAGATGTTGGTAAGATTTTTTAAGCCTTTGTCAGACAAAAGAGT